TCTGAATTCCTAATTGTTTTGCAATCTGAATACCTTGTATAGTCGCTAAAATCTCAGCCCTATTAGAGTCTCCTATTCCCGTGGGGCCTGAAAACAAGGCTAAGATGTTGCTATCCTTATCTCTCAGCACCCCTCCTATCCCTGATGGGCCTGGATTTCCTTGGCTGCTACCATCAAAATTCAGCTTTACCCAACCTTCAGACGGAGGCACCCACACTGCAGATATCCTGTCCTTCCTCGTATGACTATTAGCCATAACTATCTAGTTTCTCCAAATTTCATCAAAATTAAAGGTATGAAAGTAGTCCACAGTTCTCAACCAATGAATGGTCCTAGTCAAGATACAAGCCTCTACAGCTTGAATGCTTCTTTCCTTTTCTTTGAATAGTCTTGCATTTCTTTCTTCCTAGATTGTCCACAAGGAAGTTGCTCTAATACATCTCTACATAGTTCTTCCTTTTTTTGTAGGCCACACAAAAAAGGAAGGATCAAAAGGCTGACTTATGTTTGTGGTCAGATTCCACCTGCACCCAAACAAAGCAAAAATCCAACTCCAAATAGCAACAGAAAAGAAACAAGATAAATGTAAGTGGGAGCAATCCTCACCACTAGCCCTGAGTTGCCAACTTAGCTCGATGCGATACACTAGCATCCCATCCATTTTTCCAATCTGCTATGTATACTAGCTATCACTTCATGCCACAACCTCTCCCTTTCTATGGGCCACCTCCACAACCATTTTCCTAATAGAGTTTTATTCTTGAGAACTAGCCTTCCTAAATGCAGTCCACCCTCTTTACTCCTATAAACTATTTCCTAGTTAATTAAGTGATCTTTTTTTTTTTTCCTCCCCTGGCTCCCAAAGAAAAATTTCTCATTAATTTCTCCAACTTCTTAGCCTCCCTAATCGGAATCCTAAAGATAGAGAAAAAAATAGATCGATAGGTTTGCTAGGGTGACTCTCAATAAGGTCACTCTACCCTCTATAGAGAGGTAGTTATTTTTCCAAAAAGCTAATCTTTTCTCAAACTTTTCCAAAACTGGGGTCCAAAAACTACTCTCCTTTGGGTTGGCCCCTAGATGGACACCTAGGTACTGCAAGGGCCAAGAAGAAATGGGACAATCTAAACAATCCGCCACAGACTCAAGGACCCTCTCATTTCAAATTAACACCCACCACATAACTCTTGTCTAGGTTTATCTTCAAATTGGAGACATTCTCAAAGTGTTGTAGCAGAGCTCTGAGATTCCTCACTTCTTGCCTATCACCCCCTTCATAGAAGATTATGATGTCATTGGCAAATTGTAGGTGGGTCACCCGGACATGTTCCTTCCTACCCCCCAGCCTCTCACTTCCTCTTCCCTATTTGCCTAGAAATTAATCTACTGAAGACATCTGCAACTAAGGTGAAAAGAGAAAGGGAGAGGGGGTCACCTTGTCTAAGGCCTCTACATGCTGGGAAAAAAATCTTTGACCACCCCATTAACCAAGACTGAGTAATGGCAGGAGCTAATACAGCCCTTTACCCAATTGCACCATTTATCTCCAAATCCACAAGACCCAAGGACCTCCAGTAAAAAGCTCCAATCCACAAGATCATAGGCCTTTTCTAAATCCATCTTACAAGAGAAACCTTGATTTCTTGACTTTCTCATGTCCTCCACACACTCATTTGCTATTAAGATAAAATCCATTATTTGCCTTCCCTGCATGAAGGCACCTTGTGCTTGACTAATGATGGAGGGCAGCATTACTCGAATCCTCACATAGCACTTTACACTAGGCTAATTGGCTTAAAATCCTTTGGGTCCTTTGCATCTATCTTCTTTGGGATTAGGGCTAAGAAGTAGCATTAACTCCAAGGCTTACCTTATTCTTGTTTGCAAATTCCTAAAACACCTCAACAAGGTCTTCTTTAACCACATCCCAACAGTCTTGATAGAAAGCCATGGTGAAGCCATCTGGACCAGGTGGTTTGGGTCTATCCATTGAACACCACCTATCTGATCTCCTCTTCACTAAAATCCCTTTCTAACCAATTTACTTGTTCTTCAGGCAGCCTAGTCCAAACCCTTCCTTCTAATCTTGGCCTATTATTCAATGGTTTCCTATAGATTGATTTGAAATGATCCACAAACAATCTGGCTACCTCATCTTGGTTTGTGACTTCCTATCCATTCACCTCAAACTTAGCCACAAAATTTTTTCTTCTTCTATTAACCAATGCATGGAAGAATTTTGTATTTCCATCCCCTTCCTTAATCCATTTGTGTCTTGACTTTTGCCTCCAAGAAATTTCCTCTCTAAGAACTTCTTCCAATTCCCTCTTTAGGTTTCTTCTCAAAAACCTTTCTTGCTCACTCATAATCCTTTGGGCTTCTTTGGAATCTAGTTCCCCAATCCTGGACAACAAGTTAGTTTTTTGCTCCTCTATCCTTCCAAGGTGCTCCCTATTCCACTCCTTGATTTTGGATACCAATCTTTTTAGCTTTTTGTGGAATCTCACTCCCTTCCACTCCATACCTCTCAATTCTTCTCTCCATCATTCCCCAACCAAGTGCACAAAGTCCGGGTGAGTTAACCACATATTCTCAAATCTAAAAGCATGTGGACCGGAGCCTAGAATTTCAAGACTTAACTAGATAGGGCAGTGATTAGAAGTGACTTTGGGTAAAGCTCTAGCCATCAAATTCCTCCAATGGTTCTCCCACTCTTCATTTAAAGAGGAATCTATCTAGTTTCAAGCAAAGGGGGTTTTCTTGGAAGTTAGTGTAAAATTGTGGGGTAAATCCTTTAGGCCACAACTATTAATCAATTCATTGAATTTTCTCATTATGGTTGTAACTGTTCTTTGGGGGTTGTTAGATTCATTACAACCCCCATGTGATTAGATCTGTTTGGAGAGTTTATAGTAGGATTCAATACTCTGTCAAAGTGTTACATTACGGATCAAAGTGTTGGGCTCTTTCCCTTCCAAAACCATATCTTGTTTTTCCTGAGCTACTAGATTGGCTCCCTTGCGAATGAAGGCAACACCTGAGCCACAGCCGTAGTCTTCGCCGGCCAATCCATTTCTCTCACTATGTCTTCCTCAACTGTTTGTGAATCATCTTCCTTGTTCTCCTGAAAAAGTACGTCCATGCCCAAACTATCTTCCTCAAAAACATTCCTCAAACTACTTAGGTCAATGCTCCCTAAGCTTACCGTGTCGTCTGAGTCAGTGTCACTAGAATCTTCCTCCTCAGAGTGATCATCCTGCCTAAGCTCCTCTAAATCACTTCGCCTGATACTCCTCGGGTTGCGCTTCTCCGGCGACAACCTATTTAATCTTGCCGACGCATTGCATTGAGCTTCCATGAAGAGAAAAGTTCGAGTTCGCTGAATTTTGAGCTGTTGTGCTTGAAGAAGAAAATAGATGGTAATTACCATCTATCGACGCCACTCCCTTGGTCATGTGACCCTTCAAGTTAGTCTTGGGTCCCTTCGACGGGCTGATAAAGTTCGGCCCATATATTGGTCTAATAGCTTGCTCCGTCTACCCCACAACAGTCAGCCCACTAGGAATTTTCTCCCCTAGTATGTTACATAGCCCAATTTTTTATTTCTGGGGCCCACCTATCTAAGAGGGCCCACTCATATTTGCTTGGCCTGGATTAGCTAGAGATTGGGCCCTATTTATTTTTAATGGACCCAACAGTTCAACTCCCCTAATTTCCTTTGACTTCGGTCCAAAGGAGTTTACTGCTCCCCTAACGTCTTCTCTCATTCGAACAGGTGTGTTTGAAAAATGAGCTTTAACGCCATTTTTGTTACAGCTGAAGCATATGATCTGTCAGAAGCCCAGCTAATACCTTGTTGATCACGTCTCTGGCTTCCATCTTCGGCAAGGCTTTTGAATTTCTAAAAGCTTGCTTGCCCTTTTTTGTGTAACTTTCTCTTCCTTGCAGGTCTACCAACCCCTTGCTGCCACGTAAGGTTTCTTCTTCAACCTTGCTGCCTTCCTCCCTTCGAGCTGCCCTCCACAGTTCATCTTCTATGGAGGAAGCCAACCAAATCGCCATGAAAACTCCTTCAACTCTCAAGTTCACTTTCCTGGGAATCTCCTCAGGCTTGACTTCATTTAGTAAGACTGCCGCGAACCTGATATTTCCCCGAAAAACACCAGCCAGTCTTGCTCCACACAGTACTGCAATGGCTTCTGCTACTTCATCATTCCAGAGATGGATTGGTAAACCAACCACGCGCACTATCACCCCATCCAGAACCGAGGAATCCTTCGAATTTGATGGAGAGACCACCTGAATATGTTCACCGAGCCAAGTTTATCCTGCAAACACACAGCCTCAACTTCTTGCTTGTTATCCAGAGGATCAAGCAAATCTTTGCACCCGTCAAAAGGCGTTACGATATATGTGGTTTTCATCTTCAACTGTTTTGTCACCAAGTCAGCAATCTCCTCCCAAGATCTACCTGGTTTGTCAACTTCAACAATCAGTTTGTTTGTCCACTCTCCTTTTTCCGCAGATACCAGTAGTGTCGCTCTATTTCCAGCTTGCACCAAGGTAGAAACCATCTGGTTGGGGGGGTTCAAGGTTCAAGGTTTACTGCCCATTGATTGAATCGTGTCTAAATATAGTCAAGAGAAAACTTGGTTCTTAGTAACCCACCATTGGCAAAAACAATTGCCCGTGAGGTGGTTACTCTCGATGTCACAGGGAAAAGCTTGGTACAGTTATCTTCTATCTATGGTAGCTATATTTTCTAACAATCAATGTATTTATAGGAAGTAATAAGAAATGATTTAAGCAGTCATAATTTAGTGATGGATATGCCACTAAATAGAACAGAATGGTGAAAAAGGATTCATGTAGGTTGGGACAAGGCTTAGATGATAAGAAAGGTCAAGGTATTGGGCAGAGTTGTGCAAATCTTTCCAACATTGTTTTTGAGTACTAAACCCCTATTAACTATGTTTTGTATCATCTACAATTATTTTCAGGTGTGCTTTTGATGGCCTTCGATATGGTGCAGCATTTATTGGGTGAGTGAACCAATGGCTTACATTTCTTTACTTTATACATGATTACTAGAACTCAGGCTTTCTAACGGAAATTTCATCCTGATCCCCACTGTAATATATTTACATTTTTTGAAAATAATATATTTATCGTCAATAAAAAAATAGTTTTATATTTTTAAGAATTACCTTTCAAAAAATGTTATCATAGATTTATGATTATAATACTGGATTTATTCCAGGTTTGATGAGTTCATCCTTGTTCGCCAAGCAATCCTTCTTGCAATTGAAACATTTGGTGCATCTCACATCCTTCCAATTTTGGCCCTGCCATTTCTTGTTTCATTCAAACATCAGTGTTGTGGGAGTAACAAAAAAAGGGGAACACTCTTCATCAAATTATCTCAGGTATACTGGTGGCATTTGCTTATAAGAAATCATTGATAAATTTTCAGTTCATCAATTTGGGTTTCAGAATCATTTTTATAGTCTGTCAAGAACCTCCCAAAAATAGTTTACTGGCGATCCAGAGAGCTTTCCAAGTCTGTTTTTTTTTTGTTAAATGAGATGAATGTTCTAAGCACCAGTTAAAGTGAGATTGACACCCGCCAGTGAACCTTTTGGTTTATGTCCACTCTGGTTCTAAAAAATGCTTGATAGGCTGATCTTTATGTTTTGCATTTTAGGTACTTTTGATGTATGGACTCATTACTGCCGTAACAACCTCATTGACCATTGTGTGTGTCACTATTCAAAGGCGGCACTTGATGGTATGACATTCTTTTGGAATTGTATAGCGGTCAACCTTAAAGAAAAAAACGAGTACTGTTCTCCCTTATATCAAACCACTTTATTGCAGGTTTGGGGTTTATTTGCTCCGAAGTTTGTCTTTGATGTCGTTGGCCTCCTCCTAACGGATGTCCTGATTTGTTTATCATCCATCTACTATTTCTCTGGCATTGATGAATGATGAGACAGCACAAAAGGCAATCCCAGAAAATTCAACTTAAGGATCATCAAGAGGACTTCCCCCCCTCCCTCCGGCCAACCTAAGAAAACAAGAAAAAAAAAAAAAAAGAGGAAGCTTCTGCAAAATATTTGATATTGGATTATGATGTAGCTAGTTCATAGTTTGGTGCCATGCAGATTTATTTATTTTTTATTCATTTTTTTGGGAAGATTTCTATTCTTACTCTTTTGTTCTTTTTTTTATAAAAAAAAATTATTTTTTATTCATTTCTGCTAAAATTGGACAAAAAAAAGGTAAAGAAAAGGAAGAAAAAGTCAATGCAAGTAATCTGCATCCTACATCCATTGAAGTGTGAGTCCAGATCTCTTGCCAACAAAAATTCCTTCCGATATGTTCCAACATGATCTATATGAACCTGTGGGACCCACTATGCATGTGGTATGTGGACACATTGTGTTGGAACGTGTTGAAAGGGATTTCCCTTGGCAGGAGATCCCGACCCGGTTGAGGTGTGGCTTTATTTTGGAGAGTTGGAATCTCCCAAAAACATTCCAACACCTTTCCAACATGATCTGACATTGCACAACTCACCGTGAGATTGGGACTCACCATAAAACTGGGACTGAAGTGTGGTGTTAGATGACGTTGGGAGTGAGATGGAATGTATTTCTTGGGAGGTGATCCGGATTCCATTCGGGGGACCCTATATCCATAATAATGCATTATTTTCAATCCGCATTCAAACTGGTTGGTTGGACCGTTTGACCGTGATCTGTTAACCATTTTTTTTTGAATTTTTAGACATTTTTTCAATAATAATAATAATAATTTTCATTTATCATATTTTAATTTAATATGATAGAGTTGTAATGTGAGTCATGCCAGGTGGGCCATTTGCACTATAGCATGCCGTGTCAACATGTCATGGGGCTAGTCGTTGGGGTCCCGTGCGGCATTCGAATGTGATGAGTAAGTCTATGTAACAAGCAACAACACAAGAAAAGGCAACATGATGACATATGAATTAGTCAAAAAGGCTATTTGTATTGCATTAATGGATGGCAAATACAAGCACACAGTTTAGTGTCGAGGGGATCTCGTGCTTAACCTTTACATGCTTATGACTCACACGACTACCTACCTCTCCTTGACATTGAACTATGTGTTTGTGTTTGCCATTCATTAATGCAATACAAGTATCATTTTTGACTAATTCGTGTGCCATCTTGTTGCATTTTTTTGTGTTGTTGCTTGTTACATAGGCTAACTCGTCAAATTCGAGTGTCGCACGGGGCCCCAGCGACTAGCCTCGTGACAGTTGGTATTAGAGCCAAAGCTCATTCCTAGCCCGTTGACCCGTGATGCGAGCACATCATGGAGGAGATTGAGCATGGACTCTCCCTATCCCATGAGGTGAACGATGCACCCGTCAATGACACAGTCAAGGACAAATCATTGAAGACCGCGCATCAAAGGCAAGCGTGCGCGAGAAATCCATGGTCAAGCATTCTGCCATCGACTTATGAGTTCTACGTTGTGAAGCCACTATGGGTGAGATTCGTGATCGAGTAGATGAGCTCCACCAAAATGTTGAAGCCATCTATTGCAATATAAAGTGCCTTTTTACTAATTTGTGTGCCATCTTTGTTGTCTTTTGTATGTGATTGTTTGCTTTCTTAGGCTTACTCGATCCACTCGAGTGCCGTATGGGGCTTTGCCGATTAGCCCCGTGACAAACATGCAGGCCATGGTGGGTTATGCTTGCTTGGTGTGATTTTGGAATTTGGATTTGTTTCTCACACAGCGTCTCACAAGCACATCCCACTGTGTATTGAGAACATCTTCCATAAATAATAACACATAAGTACGGGAGATGTTCCCAATGTACGGTGGGATGTGCCCGTCAAGTCGGTGTGGGGCGCCATGTGTGAAGAGTAGATTCGGTTCCATGAATTTGTTAAGAGGGGAGTCTGGAATGGCCTAAGGCTTGGGCGTAGTTAGCTAGTATGTAACTGGGCCAGGTTGTGGTCTAATATGATTTTCTCTTTTTAAGAAAATTTAAAAAATAATGGAAAAATAGTAAGTTAATAAGATAGACAATAAATTGAACAAAATAATAAAATTTTATTCCATATGAAATTTAATGTATACAATTGTTCATATATGAAATAATAATAAAATGAAGTTGAAAAATATTACAGTGAAATCGAATTATTTATTTGTGTATATAATCATTATATTTAAATTCAATTGTGTATATATAAATTATTGGTATTATATACATTATTTATTTATATATACGAGGGACATGCTACATCGGGCCATTTTCTAGTGTTGTTCCCTACTGACCCGTGCACCTGGACCACCTAAACCTAGCACGACCTAGGGTTTGGGACCGTGCCTGGCACGGCTCGATTACTGCAGCAGGTGGGCTGTGCCTGACTGCCTGGCATGGTCTGAGTTGTGCTGAGCTGTGTTAGCCTGTTTGGTGGCTCCACCCACATTACAGCAGCATTTGGCAAATGTTTTTGCATGGTCTTTTGGGCTTCAGCAAGCTTGGAGATGGAAAGATGCATGCGCGGAAAGACTTGAAAAGATCAAAACGCCAAATTTCAGCAAGCTTCGAATAAAGTTTTTTGGACTTTTTGTGTGATATATTATGATTTTAAAAGCCTGGTAGACCGAGCCACTTACTAAATAGTCTTCATCTTTTGTCCATATGAGATGCTGTAAGATCCAACTTACCAAATGGCACCAATGCAAGATATATGTCCTATTTTTCTACAAAGTTTCTATGTTTTATTTTTATTATATATATCATCACGGTTGTCAAGACCAAATCAAAATCTCAATTGACTTGAATGATTGAATGCTGCTATTGGACACACAACCTTTGTGGCAATCCAAATCTCTTACCCACACACCACAGCACACTACAGCTGAACAGTGGGAACATATCCCCATGAATGATAATATGAAAATACGGGACATATTCTCAATGTGTGACTAGTGATATGTGAATTTACATCTGTGCACCTTGAGTGTCCCATGGCACATCTCAATCGTGTATTGAAAACATCTCTTAATGCATGCTGAAATGTACATGACATGTGGAGTGCCTACTGGACACAAATGTGAACTCGTGATGTGTGGGTAGAGATCCGAATTCCTTTTCTTTTCTGGTATGTGCCCCCAATTATACGGATGACACAAATGATTCTCTTAACCACAAACTGTTTGTTTGTCTGTTTCCACATCCATGGGTAATTGGGTATAATATGAATGGGGGTATGCGTCCCACATGGGTAAAATGGCACCGAAACTGGTCATTCCACCTGTGCCATCTGTTAGCGTCATGCCTGTGCAATATGTTGAGTAAATACTGGGAAATGGTAAATCATAATAATAATAATAATAATAATAATAATAACCTTCTAAGAAGTTAAAGACTCTTGTCTACATAAATTATAGTATAACGGCGAAGACTCTTGTCTATATAATTTGGCCGCTGGGTTCTGAATGTTTTTTTAAGCCGCCACCGGGTGTTGATTTGTATCAAATGCAATGTTTTAAAAAACGATACGGAAATGGAACCGTTTTGATCACCTGTTTTCGGGTCAATGGTCTGATCGTCCGGTTTGAATGGATGGTTCGTTCTAACAGGAAAATTTAAAAATAAAAAAATGGTTAAAAACCATTAAACGGGTCGACTGTTCAATGGTTCAACTGCTCGAGTCAACGTTTAGTTGATTTTTTCAACGGTTTTTGACCAGATTCTAGGTTTATACAAAAATGGAACCGGTTGCTTGGACGGTTCCTGAGCCAAACGGTCTGACCGTCTGGGTCAACAGCGGTTCAAAAACACTGCTCAAATGAAAAAAAAAAGCCAAAAAAGTAAGAAAATATTAAAAACTTTCGGATATCTTTTATGCCTATTTTACATCAAGTCTCCATTTGGTATGTGCAGAAAACAAATGATTCCATTAGATTCATATTTTATGGTTTTGATTGAACGTAGAATGGCCTTCCCAAATAAGTTGAGCAGATTCAATCAACAAAGCCCTGTCCCAACTGGAGGTGTAAAACGGAGCACAACCTGCGGGTGGCCTGGGCCATGTCGGGCTGGGCCACAAGCTGAGCCTTGGGCGTGGGCTGAATTGGGCCAAATTGGTTTTTTACCTTTTTTTTGTTTTTTTGATATTTTTATTTCATTACTAAGTAAAAGTGTAAAACTAAAATATTTAACTTTCTTTGGGCTTTGAGAACTATTTGAAAAAATAAGAAATGAGAAATCTAACAAATAAATGAAAAAAATACTTAACCAAATAAGAATGGAATAACAAATTGGAAGAAAAATAGGAATTTTATTTCATTTAAATTTGAATGATACAAATTACAAAGCATACAATGGTTGGATACTTGGATGAATGAAATATGAAAATTGGAAAATAGAATAAATTAATAAAATATAAAAAATAAAATATAGTTACAAATTGAAAATACAAAATTACATTGTTAAAAAATAGCAAATAAATTAAATAAAATTAAAACAAAATTTACAATAATTTGAAAAAATGCTATACAACTATTGATGTTGACTTCACCATTTTTTGATTTTCTCTTATTTTTCATGACTTTCATTATCTGCTTCAGGTGAAATATTGGGTGTAGTGTCATGCCCTCCTTTATCTTGTAATCTGTCTTTAGCATCCGACCAATCTTTAAAAAAGATGCACATCTTTATACATTCATCATTCATACAGCTTGTCTTGTTATCCAACACCCTAATACATAGTTGTCAAGGTGACGCCTAGGCGATTAGGCGGTTTTTCATGGTCACCTTGCCCAAACGCCATAAGTTTTGCATATTAGGCGCCCGCCCAAAGACTTAAGCAGGCGCCTAGGTGGGCACCTACATTCATCTAAAAACTATTTTTTTTTAATTTATTATTTTGATATTTTATTGGATGTTTTATTCTTTTAAAATAAATTTGGTTACATGATATCATTTTAGTATTAAGACCAAGTATACAGCCTGTTTTTTCTTTATGTCATAAGGGTTTTTTTTTTTGTTCGATTGGAGAGGAAGAGAACCGAAGGCTTCAAGCCCCAGCCCAACTCCATCGCACCTTAGCTTCAGCAGGTAAGCTCTTCTTCTTCTTCTTCTTCTTCTTCTTCTTCTTCTTCTTCTTCTTCTTCTTCTCTTTT